AGGACGCCTGGGTGTTTTCAGAGTAAAGGTGCTGTTATCACTGTTTAGCAAATGCTTGGCTGCTTAATGGAGAAAAAGATAACCTGTGTGAGTCATGTACCCACCTACAGGTCAAGCAGCCTGGAGGAACCAGGTGGCAGCACCAACTCACCGTTTGACAGGACCACCAAGAAATCTTTCTCAGATATCTAGCAGATATCTCCGTGGTGATAAGACTAGACTGAGCCACACACAATGACCAACATGCAAATGGTTTTGAATGGCAATTTCATATGGTTCACACAAATATGTTTTTCCAAAAAGGTATTCTGCCCGCTCTTTTATATTTTTTTCTCTCATTTCTTTTCTCCTTTCTGACAAAAATGTATTCATGCCAACTTTGATTCAAGTCGTCATTAGGAATAATGTAATCAATTTCTTTTTTTCTGTATGTTCCCAACTTAATTTTATTCTTACTGTTATTGTAGCATTAACATACTCTCAGAACACACTGCAGCTGCCAACCCAAAAGAGATGGTTCATAAAAGTATCATGCACCATGGAGAGCTAATCCAAATTTTATTTTTTGTCTGAGATAGTTCTTCAGTGGACAGCTGACAGTTAATGTTGGTTATCTGCTTTGTGTTTAGGTTATAAGTCCCTTGGGGTGTGAAATTACCTTAAGCTATGAAATTTATCTTACATTCAATGAGCCCAAATTCTTATTAATCTGTATCATATTCAGTAATTTATTTGGAGTTTTCAACAGAGAATTTAAGAAATGATATAATTTAATGCCTATTTTTGTCACATAAGAGGCCAAAGATTCCAGAAGGTTAAAAATTTAATATAAATGAAGTTAACATGGAAGATAAATGAAACAAGCTTGACTAAGCAGTAGAAATTAGGTTGTCTGCAATTTTGAAGTTGAAGAGAAAACTGAACTGTCACTAACATGAGGACTTCAAAAGGAATAGTGGGGCAACCCAGGAGAGAAATCATGGGACTCCCAGAGATGGAGGCCGAGGCAATGTGTCCCAGCATGTGAGCAGCAGGCTTGGACGTGGATCCCCTCCATATAGCAACAGCACGAACCAGCCCTAGACTTACTCTTTTTTTTTTTTTTTCTAACAGATGCCCTGGACATTTTGAAGTTGCATTAATAGCAAGTTTATATTCCTAATATAAATACATCTTCTCTGAGTCTTGGAAAATTGGATCAACTTAACTGTCTCCACATGTATGCTCTGGGGAGCCCAGTACTCACTGAACCCCAGTTACAAAATCTACAGGAAATTTTTGTCCAGATCACTATCCATCCAACTTGCCCTGTTCTGGAGGAAGATGTTTTGTTTCATCGTTTGTGCTATAGTCATGAGAACAAGTAGCTTGTGTCCTATTTCTTCTTACTTTCTGAAGCAAGTGTGCTGGGTACTGTTCACACTGATCAGCCCTAGGCCTTGGGGGCCGTACCCTTGCAGCCACTCTGAAGCCAGCACCAAGCGTTGTGACTGGGAGACCAGGGAGGCTGGGGGAGGAGGCCGGGAGGGCTGACTGCACTGCAGCTGAGGTCACAGCTGCTTGTGGAGAGAAGCTTCAAGTTGACATCACTGTGAGCTAAAACCGTAGCTACCCTCTGGATAACAAAGCAAGCTATTGGCAGGAAGAAAGGGAAAATTATAAAAATTAAACAAGGCAAGCATTAATGCCATATTGCCTTTTCTCTCTGAAATGCAAGATTTGGCAAAGCCAATTTCCACATTTGACCGTGGCCTCTCAGGCTTCTGTGCCATCCCTGTGGGACGTGGCACTGATCCTGGCTCTCCCCTCTCCAGCCCTGGCTTTGCCCACTTTGCCCCTCCTGGGCTCCGCCATGCCCTCCTCCTGCGGCCGCCATGCCTGTCCTGAACTCAGCTCCTCTCTGACCCCACGCACAGCTCCTCTTTGACCCCACGTCCAGGGCTGCGTCACGCCTCAGCTGCCCTCACTGCTGCCGTTTCTTCACGGGGTGATCTTCACAGAAACACTCAAAGCCTTCTGTTACATACAAAGGACCGCGTGTCTGTAATCTACAGCCGTTTACCAGTCACCAAGAAAACACGAACGTTTCCACTTAAACACCGCAAACGTTGCTTTCAAGCGTGGAGCGCCCCGCGCCAGAGGCTGTGGGAGGAGTGAGGAGGCTGGGCTGGTTCCAGCCGCAATGAGTAAGGCGTGGGTGACTCCGAGCATTGCAGAGGCATGACGAAACGAAAACAAAACCTGCCTAAGTGGAGTCTTACTGACTTATCTTCCACTGAGAAATAAATAAAATAATGTTTTTCTTTCAAAGATGTGGAACAAATCCATGCAGTTTGCTGTTGTTGTTTTAAAAGAAACTAGAATTTTAAAAATATTTTGGAATAGCTAAGTTAACCATCTTGTCTCCATAAAGGGAAAAAAATATTTTGCTCTTCAAAAGACAGCATTAGGAAACAATAAGTAGACCACAGAATGGGGGGAAATATTTACAATACTAGCCAAAAGACGTGTCAAGATAATATTTAAAAAACTACAATTTATAATAAAAAGCAATCAAAAAATGAGCAAAATATTTGACTAGGCACTTTAAGAAAGAAGACACATATATGACAATATGAAAGAAAAAATTTGTCAGTATTATTTATCATTAGGAAAATGCAAATTAAAACCAAAACGAGATGTCTCTACACATTCACTAGATAACTTAAACATATTGACAATACCAAACGTTGACAAGGATGTGGTTCGGTGGAAACTTTTAAATTCTGCTGACAGAGTGTAAAATGGTATAGTTTGGAAATATGTTTGGAAGTTTCTCAAAAAGTTAAACATGCATCTCATATGTCTAAGCAATTCAACTTCTAGGTACTTATCTATGAGAAATGCATATACATGTCCACAAACACCTTTGTAAACCAAAAAGTATCTGAGACAGTCTCATAAATTTAGAAAGTTTATTTTACTGAGGTTGAGGACATGCCATGACACAACCTCCGCAGGTCCTGATGATGGTGATCAGGGAACAGCTTGGTTTTATACATTGTAGGGAGACATGAGACATCAGTCATTATACGTATGATGTACATTGGTTCTATCCAGAAAGACGGGACAAGTGAATGCAGGGAGGGGGCTTCCAGAGGATAGGTAGATAAGAGACAAATGGCTGCATTCTTTTAAGTTTCTGATTCGCCTTTCACTGACTGCACAATTTACCGGAATAGTCACGTATGCCTTAGTCTGGCTGAGTGAAACAGAAGGGTGGAGGAAGCAATCAGATGCGCGTTTGTCTCATGTGAGCAGAGGGATGACTTGAGTTCTGCCTGTCCTTGTTCCACAAGGAATTTCCTTGTGAGCAAATTGTGAGGGAGGAACAGCATTTTTATCTTTATAGCTATCTTATTTAGGAATAGAATGGGAGGCAGCTCCCAGCTTGACTTTTCCGTTTGGTTTAGTGTTTGATTTATATTCCTTTCATACCTAGTATGAGACTGTTCATAGAAGCTTCATTCACAACAGGCAGAAGCACTCATCTGGTGTCTATCCAATGTGGATAGACGGTGGTATTCCGTGCAGTCGAATTTTCCTCAGCAACACCAAGGAGCAAACCGCTGATCCTAGCAGAGACATGCTGGATCTCGGGACCGCTATGCTGAGTGGAAGACACCAGATGGAAAAGGGTGCGTGCTCTGTGACCCAGATTCTGTGAAGTCTCTAGACTCAAACCACCTCTCACCAGAGAAGCCAGACCCGAGTGTACTCCAGGGCCTGCCTGGACAGGGCAGAGATGCTCTGTGGGGTGATGGTGAGCTCTATCATCCCGGGGGGCTCCCTGAGCACGTGCCACTGTATGTGAATGATATCTCAATACATTTCCCTTAAACAGGGAGAGGCACAGCTTGTCTGCACATTTCCAGCAATGGTGGTTGGGTGACGACCGTGACAGGCAGCTAAACTGCAAACTGTGGCCTCACTCCTGTGCAATTCCATTCATTTACTCATTCAATAATATCTTTTGAGCAGCCACTGAGTTCCAGGCTCCGTCTGGCACCTGGGAAGCAGCAGTGAACAAAGGAAGGAAACCCGGAGCTGGCATTCCTGTGAGCCTGCAGAGGCGGCTTCCTGCAGGGCTCCCTGCTGCCTGGGGCTGCAGCTTTCTCTCTCCACGGGATCTGGCAGCTTTATGCTGTCAGGCTCCTTCATGTAGAGCAGAGCGGTGCCCATGACGCTGTTCCTTCCCAGTCTTCATAATGACGTTGTAGTTTCCTTAAAGGCCTAGACTCAAAAGCGGGAAAGGGTCAGAGGCCATAGCTCCTATTTCATTGGTATAATTGCAAAAGAATAGATTTTGGTGAGTGTGACTTCTGGAAGAAAGGTAATAAAATATATTTATACAAAGAAAACTTTAAAATATTGAGTAATTATTCACCCCAAATATTCAAGCACCATATTAAGCTTCTTAAATTATGGCGTTGGCTTCTTTCTCGCTCTGTTGCTCAAATATCGTGGTATTTTAGTTGCATGGGCCTTCCCTTGTATATTTCTCGTCAGAAGGCCTAGTTACTTTCCATGATGGTTATGGACATAGGCTTTGGTGTGACTGTGTTCCCTGCATTTGGCAATGCCTTCCTAGGTCGGGATGCTCACCTTCCACCACATGTTCCCTGGGACCTTGCTCCTCCTGCCGGAATTGAAAACTGGCCTGCATCCCTTTCCCTATCCTTCTTTCTCATAGCTTCTGCCTTTGATGCTAAGGGGGCGACCAAATGACCTCTAGGCAAGAGATGGTGGGGCTGGGGCGGGCAGGTGAAAGGACTGCAGTCCCAGTGCCCACACAGCTGCTCTAGCCTCAGGATGAGCCCGCAGAGTCAGCATGCTAAGGCCCTCTGCTTGCCTAGGGCCGACGTGTTCACCTTCCCACATTGGAGGCCATGTGATCCTGTCTGCTGCACTGTATGAAAGGAAAGCACCACTCATTGCACAATTTTCCTTTGTCTCCATAGATTCAGACTTTGTGGTATTTCTCGGGAATTCCCTGGAGTTTGTACAAAATCTTTGCATATATCATCCTTTACCTTAGGCGAAAACATTTGAAGTCAACTATTTCAAGGACTGGGAATAGAGAAGAGAGGTGAGTGAGTGACTCTTACTCATTGGAAAGTTCATGCCATTCAGAATGTAGTAATCTATGTAGGAGGTATAAATCTGAATATGTGCTCTGTAGGCTACATTCTATATGGCAGAGTTTTCATCCCAGACATCCGTTGCTCATATTGCCAAAAAACCAAGACTGGAGAGAAACTGTCAGCCTTTGAAACAATACACATCATAGGCAAGTTTTTTGACTAAACATAGAAAATATGATCTATGTTTTAGTTCTCATATGCAAGCTAATGGTAATTTTTGGTATGGACTGTGATATGATAAGGAAACAGAAAGGGTGGAAGATATTTTGGAGGGGGAGTTAGAGCCTGCATGAACTCTTGCTGTGATAATGCTGATGACTTTGCACAGGGGCGGGCCAGGCTCTGCTCTGGACGTGGGTTAGAGTCCTGCAGGTGTCTCCTCGCTGCGGGACAAGTGCCCACCTGGATCGGTTCTGCTTATGGCAGAGGACAAAAGTGCAGGACACCAGCAAACTGCAAGCCTGTCTGTAGGCGCTCCCAGTGTCTGTTGTAGTCCAGAGTAAGCCACACGGCCACACCCAGATCGGTGAATGGGGTGAAGAGGAGTGTTCACCTCTTCTCACCATGGGCACAGCCAAGTCACTTGGTGAAGGGTTCAGAACACAGGTGCAAAGAAGCGTAGATTAGAGCAGCAGTCCAGCCGCCACGGGCTTTTGACAGCTGTTGCAGGCTTCTGTGTATTGCGGCACTCAGCTGAGTACAGGAGTGTGTGCCTTGCACATCACAGTCCTTCTCTTTATGCACCTCAACTGTATCTCCACACCAGTAAAATATATATATATGTGTGTGTGTGTGTATATATATATATATATATATATATATATATGAAGAAAAAATTAACAACAGCAGCAACAGCAGAGAACCCCCGTCCCAAATGGTGATAATAAGAAAAAAGGAAAAAAAGTCCTAAACACTTCTATGAATGATAAAAGAAATGATCCCACCAATTGCCCGGTAGAAACACATGTAAAATATGGCCAGGCATGGTGGCTCACGCCTGTAATCCCAGCCGTTTGGGAGGCTGAGGCAGGTGGATCACCTGAGGTCAGGAGTTTGAGAAAGTACATGTAAAATATTAGTATATTATAAAATCTTATGCACTTCAACATTATTAATAGTATAAAAAATAGCATTCTTGTATTGAGAGATGTTTGACCTAGGGAAATATTCAAGAGTAGATTTAGTATAAATTCTAAAGTACTAATAGAGTTTTAGTTAGGAACCCCTTACTGTTGTATCATTTTTGGTGAGGGAAATAAGTATAAAATCCAACTCACTGACTTCCCAACTCTGACCCAGAAATTGATTTAAAAAGTTTTTATTTGCCTGTAATCCCAGCACTCTGGGAGGCCAAGGTGGGTGGATCACGAGGTCAGGAGATCGAGACCATCCTGGCTAATGCAGTGAAACCCCATCTCTACTAAAAATACAAAAAAATTAGCCGGGCATGGTGGTGGGCGCCTGTAGTCCCAGCTACTTGGGGAGGCTGAGGCAGGAGAATGGCGTGAACCCAGGAGGTGGAGCTTGCAGTGAGCCGAGATCGTGCCACCGCACTCCAGCCTGGGCGACAGAGTGAGACTCCATTTCAAAAAAAAAAAAAAAGTTTTTCTTGCAGATGAATTATTCTGTGTATAGACATTAGTGATTGTTAATAGCCCCAGTTAGAATCCCTGAAGAGACATTCTTGGAAGAACATAATTTGTCCTGAAGAAAGTATCAAAACAAAGAGCTCGAATAAATATCCAAAGTAGTACTTGAATACTTGAGACAAATGAGATTGATGGAAACCCCGCCCATATCGGTCCACCCAGCCTGTGGATGAAGTCAGAGGAGGTGTGATGGCCTCCACTTGAGAGTTTGTTCTGAAAATCGCTAGACTCCAATATTGCACAGTAGTAATCACAGAGTCTCCTTATGTAAAAACAAAACAACACAGAATTACTTGTAAATCAGACTTCCATGCTCAACAATGGGTTGTTGAAATCCAAGTCATTATTGCTCTGTCCAGTTTTAGCTTCAAGAGAAGAAATAGAATCTGAAGACCACTCAGAGATTTCCCACTAAAATGCCTGATGACCCCAGGAAATTTTATCAAACATTTAAAAAAAAATTGAAGAAAAACTGTTTATAAAAGATTTGTTTAGGATAGTATTTTCTTCAAAAATCTGCTTTCTTCACTGACATATTTAAATTGCATATAATTGAAATATACTAACATAAAAACACAGCTCATAAGTGTGAAGCAAAAATTCAACTTTGGAAAAGTGTTGTTAAATTTGGTTTTCCAGTCATGTGCAGTTAGTGCTATAATTTGAATCCTAAAGAAAAAAAATAGTACAGAAACATCTGCATCTTCTTAAGGAAATATTTTATTGTGACTTTGAAATACTTGATTTTTAAGAGTGTCATTAGATTGGAAATCCTTTTGCATTATCATAAGAAATTTCAACTACATTTTTCAATGAGAGAAAATTAAAAAAAAAGATTTATAGAATGATCACATGCTTCTCAGCCCATTTTAAAAAGACCAACTTTTCCACTTTTTGTTTAATGGCCAGACAGGACATTCAGTCAACCAGGAGAAGTGGCTGCTGGTAAATCACTTAAGTGTGAGAGCAGGACTGTTGTGTAACCTAGTGGTTATCACAGTGACTCCTTAAATTCTGAGTCAGGAAATTCTCATAGCCAATTTACTCATAAAGCTTGGTGTAAAAGAGTTGTTTGCAAAAACAACCTAAAATTTTCGTTTAAAGTTTGAGTAGAACTTTGCTGGAAACATTGTTCAAACTCAACCTTTTAAGACCTTTCCTCGTGCTTTGTGTTTTACTTTTCTTTCACAATTACATAATATAAGAAAAAAGGAGGCATTTTCTCCCTCCTGCCCCCTGCAGATGCTCCTAAATCCTGTGGTTTGCCCCGGTGTGCCACAGACTTTTCTGTTTCTATGTGTGCCATGGTGAGGAAATGTTGAGAAGTCCTGGACCATACCACAGAAGCCAGACCTCACCTTGTGCCCAGGCCCTGCCCACTTTCCCAGCACCCTGATCCCACCCTGGGCTTCCAGACTCCTTTAACTCAGGACTGGCTTCCCAGAAGTCCCCCTACCCTGTCATGTGAAATCTGTCCCCCCACCCTGCCTCTGACCTGGGTGCTCAGGTGCCTGTCACATGCCACAGACAAACCTGTGGGTCATGATCTCCCACTCCCCCAGCTCCTGCTGCAGGCAGCTCAGCACCAGGTCAGCTACTCTGTGCCGAACTGAAGGGAGCTGAGCGCTGGCCCCCTCCATCTGGGCCGGAACTCAGGTCGTCCTGCCTCAGGTACAAGAAGTAACCGGTTCTTTGGTCTTCAGACTCCACTTCACTGGGTAAGTGAGATTCCTTCTGGGACGGAGCTCAGGTCGTCCTACCTCACGTATAAGAAGTAACCAGTTCTTTGGCCTTCAGACTCCCTGTTTCACTGGGTAAGTGACAGAGCCCTTTCTTTAAGTGTCACACCTCATTGCGGAGCCCATGTGAACACGAATCATGGGCTGGGGCAGCCAGTTCTGTTGCAGAGGGAGGGGGGCCTCCAGGGTCCTGCCTCTCCCCACCCCACCCAGCCCAACCTGCAAAGACTCGGTCAGGGCTCAGGCGTCCAGGCGTCACCGGCTATTGCCGGATTCCATGAGAAGCCCCGGGAGCCGGGAGCACCGCCTCAGTCTGCAGCTGCAGGCAGGGATGTCACCGCCAGACCTCCGCTGTGATGAGACGGACTGCAGAGCGCAGGTGCAGTGCTGGCGGCTGAAGCAGGGCGGGCCCAGAGGAGCTCTCAGGTGCATTTCATGGTTCCCTTCACCCCTGAACTTTCAGAAGGGACTGACTGGAACACTCCACGGCAATGACTAATCTTGTTTTTAAATTTTCATTTGTAATAATAGCTAATGTTCAGAGTGCTTGCTGGGTAACGGCCACTGTCTACACATTAACTCATGCCGTTCTCCTACCACCACCACAATGTAGGACCTACAATTAATCCCGTTTTACAGCTGGGAAAACAGGGGCAGAGGGTGGCATTTATGGCCTGGTTGCTAGTGGTGGAAGTGGGAATTACACCGGAGACCCTACACCTCCACGGTCCAGGCTCACGATCACCACCTGCGGTGGAGACCCCAGGAGGTCTCCTCTGGGCATTTATTAGGGATTTTCCAGCAGCACAGAGGACTCCCCGTAGTCTCAGTGAAAGTAGGCAGGGCTTTCAATTTATTCAGGATCAACACAAAACCAGCAAATTAGAAGACTCAGGAACTAGAACCCAAGCCATCATCTGCACATGTGGCAGTTCTTATGCTAGCATCACGCTTTTCCTACAGTGAGTTTGGTGTTTTTACTCACCTCAGCTCAGTGGGCTGGGACCGTGGCAGGCCAGCCATCGTTATTGTCTGTATTTGGAGGTGATAAGGACTGGACACGCGAATCCCATCCTGCATGCCAGACACTCTTCTAAACTCTTTACCTGTTTGAACAGACTTGATCCTCACCTTGAACTTACCAGGTAAGGGATGCTATTGTCCTCATTCTGCAGAGGAGGACACAAGAGAACATGCCTGATTCCTGCGTGCACAGAGGGCTGTGCAGCCTCTGGCTGAAGGGCAGACCAGGATGGGGCTACTTGACCTAAGAACACTGACACCATTTGCCTCAGACCCTGGGAATGACAGAGGCCCCTGTCCAGGGCTGTCTCCACCTGTATATACACTTCCTTCACTTGGATTTACTTGGATTTTGCCTCTAGCAGGATCTGGTTGTTTCTGAAGCTGTAAAATCTAAACCGTTGCAAAACAAACAAACAAACAAAAACAAAAACAAAAAAAACCCGGTCCACCATCTCTTGAGGATTGGCTTATAAGTCAACCTCTAAAGTGAAGGCGCCAATCACTGGCTTGGGTCTCTGGAGCTGTTGCTTGAAAAGGAGGCAGCTGTGGTTGGCCTCGGACGTGTGGCCCCGCCGGCTCTGGCCAGCCATGATGAAGCTGGGGCAGCAGGGACTCTTGGAAATGCTTGTTGAGTTGCATCAAAGGATCCCAAAGAGGTCAGTCTCACACTTGAGTGCTGCTGAAGTCATCCAACACGGGGCCCTATGATGAATGCCCTTGGCAGCAGACACGGGCTAATGAGAGACAAACACGCTACACAGTCTAGAGCCAAACACATTCTTTTTAGAGGAGACCATCATTTGATGATGCATGAATAAGGCAGTTATTTGGCTCCTGGGAAGTAGAGGGTGGGCAGGTGATGGAGTGGGTGGCAGACTCACCACCAAGCCAGGAGCATGTGAAGTTTGTGAGGGAGTTAGATAAAGGATATGGGCAACTAGGGATCTGTCGGAGCACCTGTGCTTTTGGGGATGGAATCACGACCATTTGCAAATCCATCTGGACACGTGACTGGGAGTCTCAAGCACTTCAGCCCCAGACCTGGGAATAGAACCAGTGTTGGCATCCAGCATCTGATCACATTGACTGCAACCCACTCAGCTGAAGGAGGGGCTATGGCAAGGAGCTCTTGTCTATGCTGCCATCTTCCTTTTATAAATGATGAAATCGACATCCTTACATGCCTTGCTTGAGGTGGCAATGCCAGGTTGGAAGCTCAGGCCTGAATGACACTGAGGCCACCTCTTTTTTGGACCTCTTGGGAGGCTTTGTGGACTCAAAGAAGGAAAGGTTCTTAGCATACATGAAGTCTTCTATTGGAGGTAGGTGCCTCTCTGTGCTATGAGGACCCAAGAGCTGCTAGGAACCACCTTCATATGCATGTCCTTGGTGGCTGAGCGATGACATCGGGCCTGAGCTCCCTGCCTCTGGAGCATCTGTCCTGAGTTCTGTGGCTCCTCCTCAGCCTATGTGTGTCGTCCAGGTCCCTTGCAGGATTGCTGGCTTAGCTCTAGTATTTCCGTTCTTACTGCTATGGACAGGACCTCTGGCATGGACTTTCTGTTGGTCAGCAGGGCCAGAGCACCCAGCCTTCCAGATGTCTCTAAATCTTTCCATCTTACAGATATCCAAAAGTAAAATGTACACACAGCACCACTGATGTGTACCCCACATGCAAATTTCCATATGTTACTATAAAATAGCATTTTAAAATAGATTAGAAAAGATGCCTATCAAAGCTAATGGAACCATGCTCTTAAATATTAAGGTGAATCATTGCTATCAAAATTTGTGTTTCAAATGAATAACAGGAAAGTTAAACAATCTCCTAGTTCCAAGTACCAAGCCAGGGAGGCGAGGGTCCTGCTGAGCTTGGGTGATGGCACATGTTGCTGTCCACGCATCCATTCTGTGGCTGACGTGGCAGGGGAGACTGGAGGATATGGAGGCCAGGTCTGGCTTCAATCTTCATGAACCATTTAAACCTCATGAAAATATTTCCTGTGTTCTCAACTTCAACCCACTTTCCTTGCATGTTTTGTGTCATAGGTCTTCACTCAGACATAGGTAATTCTTTCTTTAAATGCTCATCACATTTTCTTTTGGAATCTGGTCTCCTCTCATTGCCACTGGTAGTCTGTGACTGTTGGCTCTGCAGAGTTGTATAAGTTGTTAGAGTTTTTTGGTTGCAAGCCACAGAAAATAACTGTGACATGTTTAAGAGCATTGGGAATGTGTGGGGGTGGTGATGGCCTGCAGAATCCCCAGGCAGCAGGAGCAGGTGCAGGCTCAGATACAGGCTCAGTCGTCCTGCATCCATCAGAACAGGACAACTCCAAGGCCAGGTGGCTGGATAGGCTCTCCACTGAGCTTCCCACCTATTCTCACTCCAGACTCCAAGCTGTGGTCCCACTGGATTATGTGCCCACTCCTGGGCCAGGGAAAGGCAGGAGACCACAGGGGACAGAGCCAGAGCCACCACTACCACCTCATGAGACAGGGAATTCTTGAAGGGGAGTCAAGGTATTTCTAGAAAAAAGAATGATTGTTTGTGGAGGGTGAAAACATGATGCAATATTTTCCTAAAATTAGAAGATCTTAAGGAAATAAGGAGATAAAAATATAAAGTTTTACCTTTTACCTGTAAAACAAAATAAAAAACAAACATGAAAAGGAAGGTTCCATATCTCTCATGATTCTAGATACTGGGTGTCTATTTTATAAGAATTCTTTCAGACATAAAACATTAACAGGCATGTGTAAATATGGTTTATTGTTTCCAGTAATCTTGGCAGTTACTTGAGTCTAAATTATTTGCCTCAGGAGAGCATATTGTGAGGGCAATAAAGGGAGCCTTTTCAATTCTATTGGTAAAGATGTGATTAACACCATTAAGAAGGGAGGAAAAGACTTTCAGTTCCAAACACAACACTGAGAAAACAGAGATGGGGATCCATTTAATTCTTGCTGCCTGAGTGTTTCTAGCAGATGAACCTGGCCCATGGGGCAGGGCAGGGCTGAACTTTTCAATTCTAGGATGACTTTTCTTATCACTGCCAATGGCCATCGCAAGTCAGCGGAAATATTTTACTTTTTTGACTGCATGTTACAGTTATGTATATAGATAAACATAAAAATAGAACCTATGTGATGGTTTTCCCGAAGCCATCTTCTCTTTTTCAAAAATATTTTGCTTCTGAGGTGGCATATGAGTATTGTCAAAGTCAAATAAAAATATACACATGAATCTCCAAATAAAATGTTTTATTTTGGAGAACAGACTTCGGCTTGAGGTGTACACACAGACTAGGTGGTCTTCATATGTCCACAGAAGAAAGAAGATTAAGGGTCTTATTAGAAAGAGAAACGTTATGTATTGTTGTGAAAGAAAACTCATTGGCACTGGTGGAGTTTTGGGGAGCTGGCCAACTCTGATTGGTGAGTGACGAGCGTGGGTAACACTGGTCTTGGAGTCACAGGAGTTTGTTTCAGCAGCTCCCACGTAAAAGTGGCCTTAAGGTTGCAGCAAGTGACCTGGTAGCTGGCTGGTGAGATTGTCCCTGGGTAACTGACATGGCGGCTTGTTGATAGTGTCCCTGGGCAAGTGAGCTGGCAGCTGGTGGGTGGTGTCGTCCCTGGACAAGTGACCTGGCAGCTGGCTGGTGAGATTGTCCCTGGGTAACTGACATGGCGGCTTGTTGATAGTGTCCCTGGACAAGTGAGCTGGCAGCTGGTGGGTGGTGTCGTCCCTGGGCAGGTGACCTGGTACCTGGCTGGTGAGATTGTCCCTGGGCAGGTGACCTGTGCCTCAGTGCTTCCCACCCGCCACTGGTCTCCTGACTCTAATCTACTTGGGTGGACAAGTTAACTTCAGTTCACATAATTAATTCTCACGTTTCCCCTTTTTGATCAAGATCTGTTTCTGAAAATCTCACCGGTCAACTGTCTTGAAATTAGGTTTAATTGCCTTTTGGTGCTTAGTTGGACCTGTCTTGGTGGTCTCTAGTCCCCTATCAGGGGGAAGTAAGGTAATCAACATCAGGGACCCAGGCCACATTTGAGCAACAAAGGTGCCAGAAAGAAAAACAGAATGAAACAACCAAAACCTTTCTTAGGGCAGGTTTGCCTGGAGTTTAGCATCAAGTTCTATCTTATTAGTCTCTTAGGTATTGGCAATAATCTCAAAGTATTTGGCTAACATTATCCCGTTGAGATAACTGATTTTACAAAGATTAGACAAAACGCAAGAACAGAGCTTAAATATCAAGAGCAAAATACAAAAAACAAAAAAACCCAGCAACCTTTGTTAATTGTACAAATAATTTTAATTTGTACAAAGGTTTTTAACGAAGAGCTCATGCCTAATGGTAACCAACTCAGCAGTTGAAAAGGCCATAGAG